CAGCAGTGTGAAAGTCAAGACCGACATTCATCACTCTGAAATCCTTGTAGAATTTTCGTTAACTACGCTGCGAAAACAACAAGACTCGGACTTTCAGCACGAGTGTTAAGTCAGTCAGCCACTTCTTCTGTGTGGGTCGGAAACACGGCCGGTGTGTCACAAAAAGCATTTCAAACAGGCTACTGTGGCAAACATTTATTAGGAGCTGCCTATTCCCTGGCGACAAATAAGATTTGTATGATCTCAGCAGGAGATGGGGAATTCTTCAAATTATGCCACTGTTCTTCAGATGAGAATTTAATGGCTTAACAAATCGCAGTGAGCCATTCATTCACTCTGTGTCATGTGTACTCATATCTCCTGTGATTTGACGAAGTGTGATGCTTCCTATCCATCTCGCAGCGGCTCGTCATTAGAAAAGTGTTAGTGAGGTCTGGATTGTTTACCGCACGCCAAATCACAAGATTCCGTTGATTGTGTTGTAGACTGAGGATTTATTATTGCCTGTCTTACCTCTGCGTCATTGCGTCGCCTGAGGACAATTGAATGAGAAAAGACACTGGCGATAGTGAGAAACATTTCCAATCCAATACGTTAAGTTCAAATGCCTCAATACTAGTGCATGTTCACAATCAGTTAGCCTCTACCTTGAGAAACTGTCACTCGTGTGTACTCACTTCCTCCTCTTCCCTATCTCTCTCATTTAATTAATCCGGGACAGCTTGACAATGACTTTGTGTCATAGTGAAGCACATTGAAAGCTGTCATCAGAGTGTGTGACCCTCCAGTACGTGAACGCGCTATAATTTGTTACGAGCAGACACTTGAATTCATGTAAGAAACTGGTGAATATCCTCTTGTCAGAATCAGAGCTCCCTCCTCATTCACAACTCGCTCATCACATCTCATCAGGTGGGACTGCAACCAACCAACTGCAAAAGACTCTATCATCAGACGACATAATGTAATAGCTCGACGAAGATTAAGGTGACTGGCATTTCATGTGATAGAAGAGAGACGTGTTAAGCATGAAGATGTGGATTTTCTGCGAATACTTAAAACAAATGAGCGTCACCTTATGTGCTTTCTATCGAAAATATATTCTTGGTAATATGTGGGTAAATTTTCGATATTTCTTTACACACAGATGGCTCTGATTACTTCCATATCGTGCTCATCTCTTAATTCAATAATAATAATAATAATCACAAAAATAGTTTGTTTGATTCCCAAACAGTGCTAACGATACAGTATACAATTCTAAGCATTTGGAACAATCTTGCATCTGATTTTATTGAATAACAAAATAATAATAATGATAATATTGGTAGCTGAGATTGTCAGTTAATTGAGACATTCTCACCTTCGGTTACAAATAGAAGATAGTGAGTGAACGAGCCGATTATTTTACTAACAACGAAGTAATTCATCGGTTTCGCAGTTAACATTCTCTCTATCGCATAGAACGCTGGTTGGCCAAAGATGTCATTTTTGAACTCGTAGACAGCGTAGTACGAGCATATGATCCTCAGTACTGATTTCTGGTTCTCTCAGATGAGATGGCAGTGGAGAGTTGAGAATAGAGGAGGTTTTGAGTGCGAAAACACGCGTTCCGATATCTTTTAACCAATGCAGTAATAAGCTGACTAAGATGTACACCACTGGCTCTGGTGAAAACCGCCGATATCCTTTGCAATATGTCGAAGTCTTTCGAGAGTATGTAGTCGATGAGAGACTAAGGAGTAGGAGGAGTAAATCACCATGGGTAAGTAACAAGATTTGAAAAACTGTAAAAGTAGAGGCGGAGTGATTCCAGATTGTCTTAGCTTCTTAATGTAGCAGCTTCGACGAAACATTTGCTTGGAGATCGATAACATATGGAATGACAATTAAGGTCAGTAGATAGAACGATAGCCGAGCCCTTTCCTGTTCGACTCAGTTTCTCTCACAGTCGCGTCTACGCAACGAGTATCATGTGCACTAAGCAGTCGTTGTAGACTCCGTTTATGTGTAAAGGAGAAGTCACTAGTTTATCTCTGCCAGTCTTACTCTCGCGTCGCTGTGATAAATGGTAACAAGTTGAGCAGAATAGAGACAGGCAATATTTAGAAACACTTCCAATTTAATACGTCAGCTTCCAATCCACGAAGAATATCGCATGTTCAAAATCCATCAGCCTCACTCTTATATACTTACTTCTCATTCCTTTACATGGCTTCCCACTCCTCGTTCACAATTCTCCGAACACATCTCATCAGGTAGGAATGCAACCATTTGTAATAGACCCTATCTTCAGACGACATAATAACAAAAACTTGACGAAGGCATATTTGACTGGCGTTTCATATGTCAGACGAAAGACGTGTTGGACATGAAGCTGGTGATTTTCTACTAAAAATTTCAACAAATAAACGCCACCTCATATCATTTCTTTATCATGAATATACATTGTTGGCAATCGGAACGTCGTAGGAATTACACTAACCTTTAATAAGTAATGTAACGAGTAAATGGGATGGAACATTCTAGAACATGCTGTCAACTACATACTGTTTGGAATAAGTCGGTTATTATTATTATCAATAATATCAGTTGAAACAAAATGTAGAGATAAATATGAAACGGAGATGTGCTCTTGAATCTCGATGTTCCACCTGAAACAAATTTGAATATTATAAAAGGGGATTTATATTCGTATTTTTGAAATTATTTTTACTAATGATAATAATACTGGGGTTTCCAGGACGCTTGTGGATGACACCACGCAACCGTTGTGTTATTCGATATGAGATTAGTTCGAAAAGTGTTCTCCGCGCAACTTGGCGTCTACCAGCGAAACACTACACCCATGGTTTATGTCATTTATTCTACGTACTAGACATCGGAGTTCTCGTCCAACTAATCACAATAAATCATTTGTAAAAGTGCTATAATGAATGATACACGTGAGTTTCATCAGGAACCAGTAAGTTAGGTGAATATTGATTGTAGAAGCTTGTGCAGAAGCATAATGATTTACAGAATGAAGAGATATTTGTGTTATTCAGGGTCAACATCATACGTTGTATATTTCCTGTATAATTATTATTATTTCTAAATATTTTGATTTAGAAATGATATAATGATGACAATGGTGAAAATAACAGCTCTTTTCCAAACAGGAAAAGTGTGTTAGTTGAATAGTTCTTAGTAAATATTATGAATAACCTTCAAATGAGGTGATTTTAGTAACGCATAATTAATTACAGTAGGAAGAAATATTTGCGTTATTCAGCATCAACATCACACGTTGTGTTTCTTATGAGTCTGTACGTGTATTTCTGAGTATTTCACTTCAGAAATAATTTAATTATAGTAATGATGAAAATGAAAGCTCTATTGGAACCTGCAATTTGGCCAACAAATATCCAATTTCAGCATGATCACCTCGGGGAGTCAAGAGAAGCGATAGTAATTTATCTATAGTGTATAGGTTGTAACGGTGAGATCAATGTTAATTGTAGTTGAATTCATTGATTCAGTTTTTCTGCTCCCTCTCTCATGCTAATCCACATCACTTGTTTCATCTGAGCCAACTAACCTCAATCACTGTACAGCACTGTGTGATTTATCAAAATGGAATCTTATCCATAATAAAGTATTGTCCATTGTCGGCAGTGGTTTTCTGCAGAACTCTTCTTGATTTTTGAGTTCTGCGTTTTTCCTGGGTGCAAAGTATTACATAACTGATACTTTCCTTGCTTTTGGATTGAATCTGGCTGTCATTTTCCTGTGGGAGATTGCTTCTTGTTGCATCAGGGCCTTCATTACTGTTAGTGACATCATGGTAGCCACTCACTGCCTCAGTGTGCTCACGGTTGTCTTGTGGGTGAGCGGAGTGGACAAACGACTCTCCCATTGACAATTTGGTGAGGCCACTCTCGTTCCATCTGCTTCCTCATATCCCCAGTAATTGAATTCCATATCTTTTCATCTCGTTTGAAATCTGGGCAGCTTTGCCAGTCTCGTACATGGTGCGGACGTTCAATGTTCCCATAGAGTTTCTTTTGTTTTCTGGCGATGAAACTCATCGCACTGAAGTTTCTGTAGGAACTTTGTTTACAGACTGGGTTTGCTAGCCTCACGCCTGAAAAGTGGGTTGTTACATGAATACATAGTTTGCAGAGGAGCGACGTTTTATGTTTCTCCCCTTCGAATCAGGAAAACAAGGACTAAAGCAATCATAACAACACCAGTTACAAGAAAAGAAAATATTCTCAACAGGAAGGTCAGCGACGACAACAACAACAGAAGAACCCATAGTTGCAGCATCACTGTCAAATGCAGTTGACAAAAATGATATGGAAACCACAGAGTCACTGACTTGGGTCAACTTGAGCATGTAAATCAGACAATATATATATATATACAATTAAAGATATTAGTTAGTGTTAAGCAGTCACAATATGCCGAACAGTTAGTCTTCGGTATTATCAATCAGCCAGATTATATCCACAGATTCAGTATTCAAAGGTGAACTAAGTACAATGAATCCCACCACTTCCTGGTGAGAAAGCACCAAAGAAATGGGAGTTTTATGAAACTAAGCAAACGTAGCGCACTAATCGAAAAGCGCTTCAAGGGTTATTTTTCTCAGTTGCAGATTAGTAAGGCTAACTCAAATCTTCGTGAAGTCGGATGACTTCTCAACTGTGATCTTCCACGGTGTATTGCGAGTGTCCTTTCTTCATGTGGACACCATCACATGAACTCTGCTTACTATTTGGATTGAGGTGATTCTGCAGATCGATAGATTTTAATACACCTATCAGATTGCTCCGATCAATTATATGACTCACCCGATATCATGAGACGTTGTTTCACACACCAATCACAACACTCACAGTCATCCACAAATGAACGATGAAATCGTGATTATTGTAATCAACCAATTACAACAATAATTGTGACTGCTTCTTGTAGTATAAATAAGGGAACGGAAAGTCAGTTTTCATAAGAAGATGGTCCACTTCGCATACAGCCACATAGTCTTCTTCACCCTGTTGGCACTTACAGCCATAAATTCAGGTAAGCACTTTCTTCAAAAGATGGTACATTTCTTCCTTAATCCTTACGAAAGGTTCGCCTTATTCACTAGAACTGCTAAATATTTCGCCGGCTACTCTCACGGGCTATTCTCACAAGTTAAGCTTTGGCTGAGGAATGGTCGCTGTCGCGTACGCTTTCATATCAAATTCATCTTGCCTGATACATGGTAAAGAGCAGTGTAATAGCGAAGGCGTCTGTTCTCCTGACTCTGATTCAGAAACTGCGTAAATCAACAGTTGCACAGTGACATGTTCTCTCATTTGGATAATGTGTCAGTCTAGAATTTCCTAAGATTTAAACAGCTTGAATACACATTTTGAGATGATGTGTTTCTGCCCTGCAATGGCATACATAAGGCGGTCGACAGCAGTTTGATGTATTTTAAGTAGACAAACTGTTCTGATAATTTTCAGTATTCTGAAACTCCTCTTATCTATTATAATTGACGGTTGCATTTCTTCATTTCGTTTCAAGGCGAGTCAACGAGTAAAGATGCAATTTCAGCGAGACTTGCTAAAATCAATGGTAAGTACGTTTCAAATAAATATCACTTGAGTTTGTCAATCGACTTGATATAAGAATACAACTTCTGCACTGTGGTAGAGTATAGTTTCATTATGGGTGAAACTTATTTTGACATAGTCTCACAGTGTTAAACGGTAATATTCACTGATGAGGTTTTGTGCACAATTTACTACTCGTCATATCCATATCAAGGTATTCACTTAACTTTCTATCTTCGTTTACACAACTCCATTATTTTTCATCGCTTGACTTGATTGGTAGTAGTATTTTCCATATTCCGGTTTGAGTGATGCGTCATTTTGTATTGCACTGTTGAGTGCAGATTCTATGAGCAAGGATTCAGTAACCAACCTCTCTTCACCTACCTACATAACTTTTTAGAATTTTAACTCACTCCCACCCTACTGTGTGGTCGTGCATTGTTAATGCATGCAGTGCAATTGCTGAACTGTTTTCTAAGCTACTTATCTTCGTGGATTGGTTCAACCATTCTAACGTTAACTAAATTCTTATGTTCCGCCAAACTGAATACTCCTGATCCACTAGTTTGACCCATGTAGTTGATCTCACAGTAATTGCAAGGTATTTCGTAAATATGTTATTCTGTCTAATTGGGTCAACCAACAGTGTCCTTCAACCTACATAACTTGTCCCACCTGAGTGAAGTTGAAGGTTTGAATGCCACCACCCTAATTCCTGCTTTCTTAAGAATCCTATATAGGGAGGGTCTCAGACTTGAGTGCCCCAACTGACATTACTTCAGCCTTCTTCAATGAAACGATTTCCAATGTGCCTTATTCACTTGTATCCAATGTTCTTACTTAACATATGACAATTCATTCAAAATAATCTCGTTTCCCTACAGGAGAAATACCCGGAATCATTACGGCTATTAAAAATTCAGAAAAGAAAATAAAAGAGATTAAAGGTATATAAAACCTAAAGATTTATTGTTGATAATATTTTTACGCTGACGAAAACATACTTCAAATTATTCCTTCGAAATTATCACCAATGATGACATCAAAGCATCAACCATTTTATCTAGTATGTAACAGATAATTATGGCATTTTAATACATGTCTCCAGAAGCTGTAATCACTAGACCCTTTTCACTTTTCTGTTTTCCTAGACTTCATTCTCAAAGAAGAACCACACTTTCAAGGAAACATGAAAACGTGTAAGCAAGTCAAATTTATTGAAATGATGGACTACCTATTTTAGTTCTGGGCTGCCTGGAATATGCATACGAGTACTATTGGGGATTCAAGGCATTTAATAGTACGTTGTGGCAATTTTTCAATTAAAATATCATTTTATTTACGCAATATGTTCACTAAATTGAGTTTTCATCTGATAAATAAGAAGTTGGTTTCAGGATTCAATCACAGTTGTTGATGTGCTCTCTCACCGATCATTTCAATACTGAACGTCTATTCGACAGTGGTGTGATGAACGTTAGCAAGTTTTCTAACTCAAAATTGATCAGATCTGCCGAATATGCTTACTTCAGTCTATCTCTCTCAGATACGCTTAACTTTTTTCCCGAAGGTAAGCTAAATATTTTGAATCATTTCTGTACTTACTTACCGTCATAATTATTTCTTGTCAATATTCTGACTAACAATCTTCATCTGGCCTATATTCGCACTTCACCATCTCAACTATTGTTATTTTAGTCCTGACTTTTATTTACTGACTTGAAACAAAGATGAATAATTTCCTTATGCACCGATGAAGATGACGAATTGGTTGACGATTCATCAGAATTTCGGTTGTGTTTGCGTTTAACATGCATAAATTTGTATGAGCACTATACTGAGAAAACAATAGACATGGATTGATACGTGTGAAACTAATTTACTTACAGACCCTCATAAGAAATTAGTCGATGCGAAAAACTGTATCCAACAAGAAACCTTGGAATATAAAGGTAAGTAGGATTTTATTACGCTAACCAGTCTGAATTGTTTCGTCTGTGTGGAGTAACGATTTTTGAAATGCAAGTCTCCACGCATCTTTTGTAACTTTGAGTGAATAATCAAACTGTGTTTTACTCTTACTCACCCATGAACAGCGATTAAAGAGGCGTTCCACCCAAAGAATTGTTACGGGTTTGTATTTCCAACGAAAGGAGGTATTCATTTGTTCCTTTTTTACATTCTTGATGAACACTGATGAACAACATTTTCGCATACACCCACGGTGAGGGTGCATTTTCACATGTCACAATACCTTCGTCATCATGATTTGAATTCATGAACATCCATCGCTTATTATGTGCTAGTCAATGATGAGGATTTTCCAAGAGTCAGAAAATACTGTGTGAAGTAGGATGAACAAGTTTAGTGTTCTGGATGGTAGTCAGTCGTCTAAAAACGGCAGTTGTGATTTTGAGTAAAAACACACACACTGGAAGACAATTTGTTGAACGTGAAACACTGAATGAGTACCACAAAAGTGATATTATGACTGCAGTTTGGACAAGTTTTACTCTTAACTTCATGCAAGTGGATGAGTTTGTGAAGTAGTCAATTGCTTGTGTCTGCGTGCAAAACAGACTATTCAGCGTTATTTCATGACATGTATGATCCTGTGAAGTGCGTTCTCATAGGTATTCATCCCCCCCTTGATTTATTTATCAGATATAAGAGGACTCATGTCAAGAGAATTTGAATTATACGAGCACAAGCAAAAGCTTACTATTAAAATTTGTGAGTTCATTTTCTCTGTATGATTGAACTCCACAATCAACAATTTCTATGCAAAAACAATATAAAGGCAGTGCTGTGATTGTGAGAATAGTCAATCCCTGTCCAAGATTAGTTAGTTATCAGAAGAACTCAGTAATAGACCACAATCCCTTTCGCTGGTCAATTCAAATACTTCACAATCTGTTTTATCATTTCTAGATGGGAAAATTCTGAACGAAAACCTATTGAAGGGGTTGTGAGGTGAGATTTATTTTGCATTATATTTCCACATTTTATCATAAGAAGGTCTGTTAATGCGGTTATGACTCAAATTTGAAGCGAACGAAGTGTGATAGTGTAGGATGATGAGTGGGGAGGGCACAACACTGGATTCGGATATTCACTGCAACATTCAGAGAATATTTTTCACCATAGACCATCATTTCGCTGTCCAGCTCAAATATTGATTCATGAATGTGTGGTTCAAATTACACTGTATAATACTCGTGTTTAATCGATTGATGAAAGCATCATGAGTGGTGTTGTAAGTAACCGTGTGCACATTTCAAAAATGTCACTGAGGCTATGCAATCAAGCTGGTGAAATTCACACGATCCATAGTGAATTATTGAATTTAACAACTCAAATACACCGACAAATCATAGAAATGGAAATCATCACTCACTTAAAATATCTTGAATTCTCGAATTCTATGAATAAGCACACAGTTCACCAACATTCATCCTCCTTTTCACGATTATTCTTTCTTCATTATTTTAACCACTAGTATTTCTCTCAATAATATTGCTAACTGGTTTTTTTCTCACACAGGGAATTGAGGAGAAGTTCCACGATGAATTTCAAATGTTGGCGTAACACTTAATACATGTAGACTGTAGTAGCTTTCGTAAATATTTCATTTTTAATTTAAATTAAATAAATCACTTTTCTGCTACACCGCTTTCTCTTCATGAATTCAAACCCCATTCATGTTAGGCACTAATTCCAATACCTAGCATAGTCATAACAGTTATCCGCCTGATCACTGATATCACTTAGATACCACTGAATGAGGACACTCTGGGTGATACCTAAATATCGTGAAATGTCTGCAGAATGCACTTCCATAATCCGTGTGTAAAGAGCAAAGCTGACTCGTTGTGGTGTGAATACAGGGAAGCATGAACATTATAGGTTACACAGGGACAATGACAAGTAAAAAGGATGCAGTGAGCACACACCACATATTAACGATTGTACACCTTGATAATAGATTCGTTGAAAGAGTCTCTTCGCTGAATCAATGGAACCATGTATAAATTTGTGATTGTACAGCTGTGAAAATGAATTCACCGGAAATAAATTCTTCGCTGAACTACTGGTCTTCTCTCTATAAATGAAGAACACATCGTGATAAAATTGTTTCTCGGTTACCATCCTGGTCGAGAGAGAAGTATCTGGCTACGTACACTACGTGATTCCGAAATTCCGAAAGAAATTGCCTACACACTGCGTCAACTGAGTTACGCGTGACTACTGAAAGGAACATTTCTCCATACGGATTGAAAATAGAAGGTGGCGAATGCATTCGTAATTCAGAAATAGAATAAAAGTCTCAATGTGTAGTAACTTAAATGAAACCATCAACGGGGATACTACGCGTGTCAACTCTAAGATTTTATGAAAGCGTATTGTCAGCCTTATCTGGGTAGTTCAATCAGATGTGTGTCATATTGGTGCTGCCAGTTGAGCTTGTTGGTCGCCCCCAATCATTCTGAGATTTCAAAAAACACTGGCATAGTGGAATGGATATCTAGAATTTTCTTCAAAATATTCCGCAGATTCGTCATTGTGGAGGACGCTTTTCACTCGGACTACATCTTCAAAGAGAGCAAAGACATTAGCGCAACCAAGAAGCAACAAAAAACGTCTGTGGTAATCGTCATAAGGATGGGTGGTATTAGTTCATTTAAGATGGGAATGACTTTTCACTAAAATCACAATGATCGTCGTCATCGGTGTACAGAACTCAAAATCGATTCGCTTAAGCAACTGAATTTCGTCTTCATTCAATCATGTCGTTAATATTCCTAAGTGTGAGTATGAACAGTGGAAGTGTAGATAATTTCAGATAGAAGCCATCTCCCTCAATAGGGATCATATTCAATGATCATCAGCTCACACATAAAAGTAACGCACGACAGTTGCTTCATATCGTACGATGGAAGAATTTACACAGGACGGAATTATTTGTGTGATTTCAGGTGAAGTTCATGCGTTGTTTGTTTGATGAGAATTTGTCAATGTTAATAATTATCTGTATTTAACTAATGATATTTCACAATGAGAGTTCTTTAGCCAGGATATTGTGTAGAGTGTTGAGAAGCAGTGAAATTGGCGGTTGAACCAGTCAAGTTAATTTCCTGCACCGTGCTACTGAATTTCTACACGCATTACATATGAGACACTGCCTTCATTCAATCATTCGCTTCTGGCTGCACGTCCTTGTCTTGTTGTATATGTCTATATTGGTCTTCATCATTCGCCATGTTTGTGTTTGAATGAATTCGCGAATGAATAGCTTTGAAGAGACGGTCAAGACAGTCAACTTATTACGCAAATGTATAAAAATAACAATAATTCACTTTATTCCAAAAACAGTACTTGTGATACAGAATGGAATTTTCAGCATTCATCACAATATCTTGCATATAATTTCCTCAAAATATAAATAAATTGAATCACACAGAAAATTTTCCACATTTACAATCTAGGTAATTTCAAAAACATGCAGCATATAAAATGCAGATAATATTAATGATAACAGCTAAGGTAATAATAATAATAGTACAAGTGAAAATTGCTGTTGGATTGTTTCACACAGTATTGTTTGATGCGGTATAGAAATCCTAACATGGTTAGAATACTATTGAATATAATGTTCTCTCTACGTGATATGGTGAGGGGAAAAACAACGATTACATCAGTCATAGAGATAAGTTGATGTTTGCAATTATGAGAGTAAATCAAAGAAGCAACAGGATCATAAATAATATAATAAAATAATAAAAGTAAAACTTGAAGGTATATAAGGATGGATAGATGTTTATTTAACAGATGAAAAAAGGTTAGTTAATTCTTGCTTGAGATTATATTCATCATATGAAACACGTGCCAAGTATGGTATCATAGAATATTTATACTCAGACGTTCGAGCATACAGCTTTCTGAAGTTACTTCTTGTTCTACCTGAGGAGATGCAAGCTGAAAGCTGAGGGTGAATTGGATGCTCCCGAGTCAGACAAAATCTCTTTACCAAATTCATTGAACGAAGTCAAGTGCCTATCGACAACGACGTTAACTATGTGGTCCACTGGGACACCACTCACCCTACTGACTGACAGTCTTCAGCATTCTACGAAATGTGACATAGTCCTTTTCGAGCAAACCAGGAAAGAACAAGCAGGGTGAACGATGAAGACGAATAGGTAGAATACAAGATATTAATTGGTGTTAAACTGTCACAAAATGCCAAACAGTGTTCAAAAGTCAAATGATTAAACAATAAATTGCTAAACGTCTTTGGCAGTTAACGAGAGAGGAATCAGAGTTTTGTGTAACTGAGAAAATGTAGCGTGCTAATCGTAAAGCGCGTCGAGGTCCAGTCATTCAACAGCTGGTTGTATGATAATGCCAAGTGTCAAGTGATCCACGATAGAAAACTCAGTGAGGCGTTCGATGAGAACACAGTAGTGAGACAAGGCTGACTGCATATCATCACCGATGATACTTTTAATTCTGATGGACTGGATTCTGCGTCTGACTATGCACAGAGAGCGAGGAGACAGGAGTACGCTGGACTACTGATGAGAAGACTCTAGAGGATGTGGACTCGGTTTGTGGAGGATAGATGTTTGACGGAACCCAAACAATGAGAGCTGCAGGCGAAAATCAACGAACTAGATAAAGAGGTGGACATCGAAGTCAGGACATAGAGAAGACAGAGTTGATGAGTATATCAATGAACTGCAAAAACATTATCGATACAATTATAAATCTTGAGCACTGTGGTAGAGTAAAATTCCATCATGGATGAGATTTTATTTCGATTATTCACACAGTGTTATACAGTAAGATTAACATTGATCAGAACTAAACTGCATCACCGGGAAGACGAAATAGAGGTTATTTCCTTCACTTATCCGGCTAGGAATTATCGTGTCCACTACAGATCGAAAGGATGAACATGTCAAAGCTGGCCAATACTGGATGGTCGAGATATGTCATCATCAACGTGGAAGATTTCTGCATTCAGCATGAGGAACAATATTTGCGATTTGAACACAAATGTGAAATCCGTCCTTCCATATGCGTCAAAAAATTCAGCAGTGTTTCAGGAAGTGGATTTTCAACAGATTGCAGACTTTCATATTCAAGTGCTTTCACTCGATCCAAAATGCACATCAACTGGCCAGCGAAATAATATAAGAAACTCTGTCGCGGAAGAAGACAACCAAGAGACGATAGCTCAACAAATATGTAGTGGAAAATGGAGATGGATGGATGGGCATACATGGAGAAGGACGCCTAATGACATCGCATGCCAGGCTCAAATTCAAACGAGAAGCTTCAAACAGGTCCTCGATCAGATTGTACCATGAAGGAATTCGTGCGAGGAAGAAATGAAAGAGTTCAGTGAATCATGGAACCAGTTGAAGAGGAAAATAGAAAACAGAAGAAAGTGGAGACATGTTGTTGAAACCCCATGTTCGACTCCTAACGCAAGAGAATCATAATGAGAAAAAACATGATAACGAAAACCACAAAATGCAATTCAAACACTTACTGCGTGATTTCGGTGTTGAATAAGAAACAGAATTCGGTAAATGAAAATCACTTCTCACCAGCCATGTTAATTGTGACAGAATCCCAATTGCCCAAGTTTTACACATATTATACTGTTTCACTGTGTGATATACCTAATAAACAAACTAATATGGAAGTAACAGAATCCCACCTCAATACTCAATATTAGACTGCCTAACATTTAAGTGAATTGAAATCACTTGTATGGTGTTTCAACATGAATTTGACAGTAATGAAGTAGGACTTCAAGAACGACGTGAAGTTGAATATGCAATACTCCGACTGATCACCACCTGCAATTCATTAGTAAAGGTGGGTTTTGATGAGGACCGAAGCACATGTAGAGTGAGACAGTCTAAGAGGAACCGAATATCAAGAAGTTAATGTGAACTGTGAACTCTGCGTAATAAGTGAAACGGCAAGACCATGGGGAAGTGAACCATTGTGATATCAGATATATCAAGGAAAGCCTGAATTTCCGTTTAGGTACAGAAACGCTCAGGTTGCGAAATGCAGTTCTTTGATGACCGTCACTAAACATCATATCTGCATGGATTTCAAAGTCTATGACCTAATTGTCAAGTTGAATTGACACTGCAAACATACATAGGATCATGTCGTTCAGGTGTTACTTACGTACTGATATCTGACAAACGCCTTCCGATTTATGAAGTATCCTGGTTTCTGTTTCATGTCAGGTTGACTTCACTTTCAAACTATTAACACGCACCATATGACTTCATATAAACTAGCCTCATCTTCCTTCTCGTGAACAGTTTCCAGT